AAGTAGGGCAGGCTGATGAGACATTTATTTCAGGCGCTGGCCGGAATTTCCGAGCAACTCCTTATACACAGCTTCATGTTGTACATTACATCTAATTCGATCGGAAGTAGCTTGCCAAGGCCGAATCCCCGTCAACTATCTTCTGTTAGACCGGCCTACCTATAGAAAGGTCCTGTTAGCTTGTTCAGTCAGGATACCATAGTAGGTCTTCCCCGGGCCCGTTTCTCCTTGTTCTAGAATGCAACTCTATTTAACAAAATTGTTGCTCGAATATCTTCTCGATCCATTTGACAATCTCGTCTTATATATTAATCTTTAGGTCCGTTTGGCGGTACAGATCCGAGGGACGGCTGAAGATCAGCGATATAGTAGACCTCACTAAAAAGACTTTGCTCTATATCAGAGAACTTGTCTCAGGTTATTATATACAGGTCCTCTAGATTCTCCAACTCGAACAGTTGCTTCAATAGGCCAAGAGTCACTACAAGCTTAGTGGAACGCAGGATGAAAGTAGTTCAGTAGTATATCCTCCTTTCCTAGTTGGATAGCCAAATGTGTGGCAAGATGAGTCTTCCTTGCCAGGGTCCCAACGAACCCAGAGTAAGCCAGGAATGTTGCTGTCGTCGCTATTACAGGGCAGGAAGTTTGGAATTTGCTTCCCACCACTATCTAGACCACCGCCTTCTATGTTATCCCGAAATCCCCACCCATCTCAGCTAACCCCTAACAGCCTTGGCAACAGTCTCCTCAATAACCCTAATCATCTCCTCCGTATTCTTCATATCGAATGGAACCATATGCTTAGAACCATGATCATAGAAAGCCGCCTTGGCGGGCTCACAAAGCTCAAATAACCTAACCCCCTCAGGGAACAGCGGATCCGCCTTACCAACGATATTCGCCGTCGGAATGGCAATCGGATACGTGTCCGGCTGCGGTGATATCTGCTCCAGCCCGGAACTCTCCCACGGCGCCGCACCGCAGATAAAGACCGCTGCGCGGAATAGCGTTGGTTCAGCCGGGTGCGTCTTCTTTTGGTGGATTAAAAGTGAGGCTGCTAGTGCTGCGCCTTGTGAGAAGCCTATCACCGCATCGAATGGGCCTTCTTCTGCGATGAAGCGCTTGGTATGATCGAAGGCTTCGAGGACGCTAGAGCCTGGTGAGGTACCTCGGGTGTAGTGGTTATAGAAGGGGCCGTCCACTATTCCTTCGAGTTCTAGGTTGGAGTTGGGTTAATATATAGGTTGGGCAATTGATAGCTGTAGGTGGTAAAGCTTACCCTCTTCGACTTTAGCGTTTATCTTGCCGTTCATGAATTTGAAGCGATGCCCACTTTTCTCTAGTGCTTGGCGGAGGCCTCCAATTTGGATTTCAAAAATCTGTGGCTGGTCAGTATTTTCTATGTTAAAGCTGCCGCATAATGCTTACTTCACCATTTGTGCCGCCGCCGTGCAAGCAAAGGAATCGCATTTTGGTGCTTTTGAATTCCGTAGCTCAATGCCTGGAACTGAAACGTAGATTGTTTGATAAAAGACTATAATGAAACAGTTCAGAATTTTGTGTTACGCCCGAATTCCTTGGACTTCTTGGACTTGAGGGGAAAAAAAAATAAAAGGAAGTCTGCAGGACAGGTGGCCAAGAGAGGGGAGTCTCAAGAGATACAAGGACAAGGAGGGTTTAACCTGCGGGGCCTTGCAGGACTAGCTTGGCGATGTATTAGACTGATGTGAGATATACAAAGATCTACAAAGTACCCGTGGACATGTACAAAGGTCTACATAGTTATTGTTTCTTTGTTACAAAGTTAAACAGTCATTCTTCAGCTTTCCAGAAACGAATCCCTGCATGTGGACCAATAGGAAATCTTGATAAGATCAGAGGAGAGGAGATCTTGAAAAACACTTCAACATCTCACTACACTACCACATGCAAAAAAGAAGCAATGTTATTCCTTGGCCCGAAGCCATTCTTGACTTTTCATGGCTACTTAATATCCCCGCCCCTGAGCTAACCTGAATTTCAACTTCCACACCCCCTCATATCCTTCAATCTGATCTGGAACTACGGAATATGGACCTCCGTGATATTATAGCCACTCGTGGCTTCGCGACCTATAGCTTGCGTCATCCTCGGGAAGCACTCTCGAGCTTTGGCCCGACCCTGAACGAAGCCACCTTCGGCTATTTAGGACCCTCGTTCCAGCCAGAGCGCGATATTCGCAGCCTGGACGGCAAGGTCATCCTTGTGACAGGAGGTACATATACTCTTTCTATATCTACAAGCCTCCAGAACACTGACAACGCGATTGATTGACCTAGGCAATGCCGGTATAGGCAAAGAAACCATTCTCCAGCTGGCTAAGCATCGCCCGTCGCGTATCTACATGGCCGCCCGCACCGAGAGCAAAGCGCGCGAGTCAATTGAATCGCTACAAAGCCAGCTCTCCTCACCCGCCGATATCCGCTTCCTCGCGCTCGATCTATCGTCCTTTAAATCCATCCGTGCTGCCGCAAACAAGTTTAAGTCCGATAGCGATCGCCTAGATATCCTGATCCTAAATGCGGGTACGATGGGCAACCCTCCTACGACGACGGAGGAGGGCTTCGAAGTCCAGCTCGGCACAAACCATATCGGTCACTTTCTATTCACAAAACTGCTTCTGCCTACCCTACAGAAGACCGTTGATCTTCAGCGCGCTAAGGATGAGGTCCCTGATGTCCGGGTCGTGACTCTCGCTTCGGCTGCTCATGCTGTTGGCCCGTCCACCTTTGAGGAAATTACATCTACCCCTGGCTTGTTGGCTTCCAGTACCTGGACCCGCTACGGCGCTTCTAAGTCGGCTAACATCCTCTTTGCTTCCGAGCTGGCCCGCCGGCATCCTGATATCTTGTCTATTGCTGTGCACCCCGGTGCGGTTGATAGCGGGCTGTATGGACATACGAAGAGTCTCAACTCGATATTGAAGTATGGTGTCGCTGTTGCTGGCTCTGCGGTTTTCCGGAGTGTTGCTACTGGAGCTCTGAATTCTCTTTGGGCGGCTGGCACGCAAAGCGAAAATATTGTCAATGGAGCTTACTATACTCCCGTTGGGTACCGCAGTGGTGGCACTGCGTCTGTGCAGAACGCGCAATTGGCCCACAAGCTCTGGGATTGGACCGAGGCTCAGGTTTCGAAGCGAAAATGAACTATCGAGGCATGTATGATGAATCTATCAAGTGACTACATGTTATCCTTGATTTAACTAGCTTGTTTCTGCCTTTTTTAGAATCGATATTGTTTGCGATACACATTGTCATTCTCCCTGTAAGTAGCGGGAGCAGGGAGGCAAATGGCATCATGATGATTTCGATGTCGGTCATGCTGCCCTAGTCCCTAGATAAGTACTCGCATGGCTTGTTCATTCCAAAGACCCCACAATCAAACCAGCAAGATATTTCCTCGAGCGGAGATCCCAAAACGTGTCTCAAGACGCTATCAGCAGGATGGGTCACATTGTCGTGACCGGCGGCTCCGGCAAAGCAGGCCAATTCGTCATCAGCGAGCTCCTCAGCGCCGGACACACTATCCTGAATCTGGACCTAATGTCATTAGAACACGCAAAGGTGCACACCCTAAGAACCGACCTCGCCGATAGCGGCCAAGTTTTCAACGCCCTCTCCGGCCAATGGACGCTCAGCGAGCCCTTCCCGGAGGGCCCCCCGCCACGCCCAGACGCCGTAATCCATCTCGCAGGCTATGCACGCAACATGCTCGTACCAGACAACGAGACCTTCCGCTCGAACACGCAAGCCACATACAACATCATCGAAGCAGCGTGCAAGCTAGGGATCCGGAAGATCATCATCGCCAGCAGCGTAACAGTGTACGGGGTAGCTTTCGCGCAGGGCGATACCAACTTCCCTTCGTTCCCGGTCCACGAAGACCTGGACGTCAACCCGACGGATACGTACGCGATCGCGAAGCTGTGCGGTGAGCGCGTCGCGCGGGGTTTTGCGGCGCGCTTCGGGGTGGATATATACATCCTGCGCATTGGGCGGGTTATCGAGCCCGAGGAATACAGCAAAGAGATCTTCTACAGCTATGTGCATGAGCCGACGCTGTGGAAGGTGCATGGGTGGTCGTATATTGATTCGCGCGATTTGGGTGGGATGTGCGAGGCGGCATTGCGGACTGATGGGCTTGGGTTTCAGGTCTTCAATGCTACCAATGATCACATTACCAACCTTAGTCCTACGAAGGAATTTTTGAGGGCGCAGTTCCCGGATATACCTATCACGCGCGAGATGGGGGAGTTTGAGGCACCGTTTTCTAATGCGAAGATCAAGAAGCTTCTTGGGTTCCAGGAGAAGCATCCTTGGCGCAAGTATTTTAGTAATTGGGAGAAGAAGGAGATCGGGATGGAGGAGAAGGAGAGGGCTAAGGTTAGTGGTTAGTGGTCAGTAGTTTGGAATGAAACCGTGTCCACTGTGGCTTTTGGGTATACCAAGGTCGTTCGGCATTTCTGCAACAATGATGTTGAAACAGATAAAAGCAGTGTCAATATAAGTCCAATATTCGAATGTTGGTCGATCTTGAGTTCTCCATCTCGTCATATGTTGTATACTCGAGGCCAGCCCGATTAGGGTTTAGCCGAGAATATCCCACAATCGAACAAGCCTGGGACTTGCGAATAGCCAAAATCACCAGAAAGAACAGATAGATTATGTTCCAATAGAATCAATTTATAAACCATATAAGAATGTAGATATTAAACAAGAAAGGCAGCCCGTTAGCCCAAATCGGCGCATTAGCGAATATTCTGGTTAAACTCCCCACACAAAACTCTTGGGGATGCATCATCATTTCACCCACTTCCACTTCACGTCCCCTCTTACCATCTCCCCCTCAACCCTTTTTTAACGGTACGCAACAGAGATCGTTGAAATAATTGAAATATCTTGTTAGATTTCACCGAATACCAGCTAATCCCGCACCAGGCGATCACCCCTCCCGACTTCATCATGGATCAGGCAAAGTTGGCTAGAATGCAGGCGAGCGTTCGCATCGGTATGTTTCTGACTCTTTTGAAGATTTTCAAGGATTTTGGAGCTTGAGATATGATCTGGGTCATGACGTGGAGCTGCGATTCTGTGGAATTGGTAAATCTGGAACTTGGTCATATCTCAATCTTACAACTTACTTGTCTTGGTGGATGTTTGTGCAAATTTGGTAGCTAACATGATTTTTCTTGATAGGGTATGTATATTCTGTCCAGGTTCATTTTCATCCCGGCCTCTCGATTCCCGGTGGAAACGAATTTTCGAAATGCAATACCCGGATTCGACAGCCGATAGTCAGACTACGGATTCTCGACTCTCGATTCTCGAATCTATGCGACGGCGCTATATCCCAAATCTTGAACCGAATATATATATATCGCATAGCTCAGAGAATCCAGTGTCCAGTCTGACTCTCGGCCTTGTCATGAATCCTCGCATTCCTTCGATCTTTTCGGAACCCCCCAATCTATCCCCCCACCACGCACCTTCACTCGTTCATCCACACCGATACAACCACACTTTTCGACCGTCCAATGTCCAATCAACTAACAATTTTACAGTGGCAAGGGTACTCCCCGCCGCAAGGTCAAGAAGGTCGTCCGCAACTCCGGCGCCGATGACAAGAAGCTCCAGGCCGCTCTCAAGAAGCTGAACGTCCAGCCTATCCAGGGCATCGAGGAGGTCAACATGTTCAAGGAGGACGGCAACGTCATCCACTTCGCCAACCCTCGTGGTGAGTAGACACCCGGAAACCAACTTTGGTCTTCTAAACACACAAAGCGAAGAAGAAGATGCAGAAGGAAAGGAAGGGGAAAAGAGACTAATCACTTCATCGCGATAGTCCACGGCGCCGTCCCCTCCAACACCTTCGCCCTGTACGGCAACGGCGAGGAGAAGGAGCTCACCGAGCTCGTCCCCAACATCCTGAACCAGCTCGGCCCCGACTCCCTCGCTTCCCTGCGTAAGCTCGCCGAGAGCTACCAGAACATGCAGAAGCAGCAGGGCGATAAGAAGGACGACGAGGAGGATGATATCCCCGACCTCGTCGAGGGCGAGAACTTCGAGACTAAGGAATAAATACGCCTAGATGCGAACTGAATCGAGTCTTTTAAAAACTTTCCTCTATGATCAATGAAATTTAAGCTCTGGTTTGAGAGTCGTTTTTGTTGAGTCGTTCTCTCTTTTTCTCGCTTTTTCGTTTCTTCCTCACCGCAGGATTGATGATGAGTTTATACCGTGTCAGTGCTATTGATGCACCTGGTGATGGAAAGAGGGAATCTTACTTCTGACAGCTCGATGGTCCTACCTGGCTTTTCCGTTGAAGCAGAAGTATGAGGAATTGTACTTGTTACTGTTCTACTGTATATCGATTTTTGCGCGCGATCCCTCGACAGGACAGTTCATTATGTCTGCATCAGATGCAGCTATCGTACACATTATCCACTGAGCAAGGCCCGAGCCATTTTACCACAAAGCCATTGACCCCCATGCCGTGCACGAGACGCGCAGTACTGTTGAGGACTGACCCTCAAGCTGCGTAGCGATTCGGATTTTAGGGTTGATCGCGTCCAAGACTTCGCAATTGTGGCGAAAGATCGTGATGTGGTGAATAATAAAAGCCAAAAGGTATTCCATTTCCATAGTACTTGATGGCCTTCATGTCGCCTCAACTATCCTCCTTCAGTCCGCACATATCCGTCCGCAGGAAATAATCGAACGTATGCCAGAACCTCCAATAAAGGCCAGATTTTTCCGAATCAAATGTGCCGTCCTCGCGGAGTTGCGGGCCTTCGCCCACGATATCACCAGTGAACCAGCTGAGGATGGGGATTGAGCGGAGGATGCGCTCGGTCATGGTTGGCTGTGGAGGGAGTGCCTCGACCATGGGGCGAAGCTTGGTGCGACGGACGGACGGGATATGCGTCATGAATTCGTTGTCGGGGGCGGTTTCGGCCTGAGCGGGAGCTCGGCGTTGGTAGATTGAGGTGCGATCGTTACTGGACGAAGCTCCTGTCGTCCATGTCGACGAAGAAGTTGTTGTATTGAAACTGCCTTGCTGGAACGAGGGTGTGGCGGTGGCAGTCGCGGAGGTTGCGGTGGATGTAATTGTATCGTCGGAGGTACCAGCAACCGTCGAGGAGTCGACCGAGTGCCGTTCGTCCTCTGGCATATCCGGTACACTGGAAAGGTTGTTCATGGCAAATGATCGAGGCAATGTCATATGGTCCTGGTCTTTGCTGGAGTTGGAGAGGAAGGCGGTCGAGTGGGAGGTAGTCAAGGTCCGCGGTGCTTTATTGCGAACCCGACTGCTCGCAGTAGAGTCTGCAGGGATGGGGGCGTCTTCGGCTGGGCCGTGGCCATTGTACAGCTCGCAGAAGACCATGTGCCCATCGATTTCCTGTGGCGAGTAGAAGCACGCGCGGTCTGCGGACTGGGTCGAATCATAGGTGACCTTGATCCAGTGGTAGCCACCGGCATAGCGCTTTGACTTGCGGTTAGCATCAGCCGACAGGTTTCGGATGACAACGTCGCCTCCGCTCAATAGCTGGGTGTACTGGTTCGCTGAAGTCGGGTCGTTGCGAGGGTAGTCTTCGCAGATCATGCCCTGGGAAATGCGCTCATATTTGTCGATCACTTTCCACTCGTTGTCCTTGTTTTTGTATCCGTAGAGTATGCATTCAGTGGCAACCTTCTCTGTTTGCTTCCGTGGGTTGTCAAGACTGGATGACGATGATGACTTGGGCAAGCCATGTGTTTTCTCCTCCTCCTGCTGCTGTTGCGAGAATAGCCGACCGAACTCGGCGACATTGGGGTTCTCGCGCTTTGCTGGTGTTCCAGTTCGTGTTCGTGAGCGGGCATTATCGTATCGAGCATTTCTTCTCTTGCCGAAGGGTCCTGATTCTTCAGGTGGTCGTCGAGGGTTGCGAGATTCACTAGGAAGCACTCGGTCAGCTTTGATAGGAGATGTGCTACAAATCTAATCGAACATACTCTTTGTAAACATAACCCCAAGGGAGGAGGTTGCCACCCTCGTCTCTGGCGCGCTCCTCCAGTGGGACGGAGTGGTACTCCATGATGGTAGATGGGACGTGGTCAAGGGATAGGGTGAATGTGCAGTTAAAAAGGTGTGAAACAGTGAGAGCTCGAGAAAGGGAGGTTCTGCGTGATGAACAAAAGGGTAAATTTGTCCGGCATCGAGGGAGCCAAAACTTTTGGTAAACACTGGTTCGCCGGGATACAGTCACGTGGGGCCATATCTACCAAAAAATCAATGATTTTCTCTTCCCTTCTTTACTTTTTTATTCATCGGATTATTCATTTGTGAGAAATGAACGGACTTCATCAATTGAAGGGGATCTTTTGTAGTTCATTTTTAACCTCAGCCTTAGCATCTCCATCTAATATGGAACACATATCACAGACGATGCTAAATTTCGAAATACAAATCAATTTCCGATGCCAGTCGCAGTGCTTAGGTTAATTTTGATGCAATAATGATTATATCTGTCCAGCATCCCCTTCCAACTCACACCGTTTTGCAAAATCCCCGACTTCTTGCCTCCGTTAGCGAACGTATTCCACGAATTGACCGAGAGGAGAAGGCTCCCCATGACCTGACTTGCAGAAAGCAACGGTATGATCCGATCATTGATATTGACTCGGACGTACGGATCATTGTGGTTTGGTGAGCAAGAGAATCGTTCAAATGTGACCCTTGCGCCCATAGGGAGAACAGGAGAAATACGCCATACGCGGTTTGTGGCAATATGGGTCGTAGGAAGAGGTTCCTTGTCGCCAGTGAAGATTCCTAGTGCTGTGAGGCATGGGGTTATATCGGCCACCATGTACACCGCTTATCAAATTAGCAAAATTCGCTTCGCACAAGAAGAATGAGCGGGCTTACAAGCTCACCAACATGCTTCAAGCTATCGGTCCATCGTGAAGGAGTCCGGTCGTTGCATTCAACCAAAGCCATCACGTGGCACCAGCATAAGGGTCGCCCGGTCCTGCACGACAATAAAGCAGTAAATCGCGAGCATACTCGAATATATTTAGTTCGCCACATATTCCTCTCCATTTAGACCCATCAATCTGTTTCTGTGCTGATCCGATCTGCATTCGAGCTCGTCATTGTAATAATTATGTATGATTGATGGCCGCAGGAAAAGACCTGAACGAGAATACAATATCAAATTCATGGGTAGGCTGCTAGAATGAAAGCCGCTCCAAACACCTGGGGAGGTTATACCCAAAGCCAGGTGGGCTTATCAAGGTTCGTGAAATACCAAGCAGTCGGCTCCGAAAAGTAGCTGGAGTATGCTTTATTCGAGTTGACTTGATAAAAGTCGCGCCAAATGTCCTTTAGTGAGAAATTCTCCGTGGACATGAACTCGTAGAACCGCAGGAAGACTTGGGTTACACTGATTTTGAGTTGACCGTCGTAACCATCCTTATCAGCTTCCGGCAAAGACCAGTCAGGATCGATTGCCTATTTATGTCCGTGATATTGATCTGGGCCATATGCCCCGTATGATAGCCGAGCCTCATCTAGTAATAAGAAGAACACCTTAAGAATTATAGCCTTAAGCTTGCCCCTCTCGCGGCGAGTTCTAAAATCCCTAGCCCTAGCGTTAATATTTTCCTTCTATAGCGAATAGAACTGACACTTACTATCGTAAATCGCCGACTTCACTTTTCATCCGTCTCAAATGGGATAAATTAAGCAAATTTTGGAGTCTTTAATCTCTTTAAATCCCTTAACACTATATATAGGCATGCGGAGAATGCTATTAAAAAGCTCTATAGATTCGTCCTATCCAGCTTTAGCCTTATGATGATAGGAAATATACCCCCAGCTTTTGTCATCTCCTTGATCGATAATCCTTTATACCCACTCTTATGGCATATGCGCCGGTCTTTGCTATCGTTCTGCCTCTCTTATATCAAGTTCCGCTCTTTCCTTCTTATAGAAACCCTTATTCATATTCCGAATGGCCTATCGCTCCTTTAATGTTAAGAATGCATCTTTGCTGACGTTTTCTTACTGTATCGGCCGCATCCATCGATTACCTATGTCATCTATTCGTAAAATGCGGAAATTATCACGAACAAGACGACACTCCGACTATGTTAAGGAGATAGGAGCCGCTACAGCTTTTTCAATCAAGGTCCTACACTAATATGCCGAGGAGTTTATGGGTGTTACCCTACATCTTCGCGAGAGGCGGCAATTCCATCAGTCGGTGTTTCTCCTTAGGTGATACTTCCGCTGGAGATTGGATCGCTTTGTCCCAGAGGGGCTCTAATTGAGCGGATTCTTCCAGAGAAGTTACCATATCCGGAAGGCGAGGTCAGTTTGATTGGAAATCTGAGTTGTGCTCGAAAGTTATACGTGGGGCGCGACGGTCTTTATACGCGTGCCTGGACTCTACAACACAACTTTGCAATCCCGGTGGCAAGTCGCATTCTATTTTGATATTTGAAAACCTGAGTGTTGAGTATCTCCAAAGGCCTTAGGCCATTACGCAGAAGACTTCAACTTGATCATGCTTTTCTTTGAGCTAGTTAATGGACAAACAAAGCCACGTTGTCAGATAAACTAAGAGGTATCAGTTAACGGATCTGATTTCTGCTTGGAACAATTTTTTTGGCACTAACCTGGTGGCTAAAATTGACTAGTCCGAGTAGACGGACGATCTGAAGACAATCCGAATGGCTTCTTCATACGGAGTAGTTCCCCAGACGGAAGAGGGTTCCGTACGAAAGACGGCTCAAGATAACCACCTGAGTAATTCTCTTTCACATTCATTTATGCTCACCTGAGATATAAAACCATCCCAGATGGCTATCTCCTTCGTTTTTCATGTGTGCATGCCCCTTATACCACCTGATATATACGATTCTTTACTTCAAGACTATGGCAGACGAAAAACAAGCCGGCCCCTCCGGAGATACAACTCGCACTTAATCAAGAAAAAGCCCAAGCAGGAGGAATCCTTAAAGCCCAGAACTAAACCGACGGCAAAGATGTTGCAGCACAATTCCTCGCTCGCCTTGACCCGGCTATCGCAGTGGAGCTTGTCACCAAGACCGAAGCGCGTCGCGTGCTTGGAAACCGATCTGATCATCATTCCCTTGGTCATGGTGACAGTGGTCCTAGCGGCTATTGATAAAGTCATTATCTCAAATGCGGCCATCTAGGCATGGAAACAGACACCCACTTGACTGGCGATCAGTACTCTTGGGTGAGATCAATATTCTACTTTGGATATCTTGCCTTTGAGTTCCCTGCAGCACTGCTCATTCAGCGGCTTCGTGTGGCCAAACTGCATGTGGGCATGGTCTTAGGGTGGGCAATTCTGCTGTTATGTACTGCAGCAACGCAGAAGTCTGCGGGCTTAACCACGGTGCGCTTCTTGATGGGCATGACGGAAGCCGCCGTATTCTCAATCTCCAGTATTTTGACGGTCATGTGGTGGAAGACAAGCGAGCAGCAAATTCAAGTCGCAATTTGGTTTAATAAACTCTCCTGCGTCTTGTCGGGCCTGGTCAGCTACGGCATTGGCCGAACAAACACGGCATTAAGTCCCTGGAGATTGCTCTTCATTGTGCTAAGAGTATTCTCCTTCCAGCAGCCAAGACCGCCACGCTTCAATGGACTAAATTCCAGGACGTGCATCTAAACTATGATATGTTGTTGGGTGTCTGTCGAATCAGGTATCCGCGGTGACAGCACCTGTTTGCTGTGTAGCTACATATGTATAGATAGAGCTCTCTCTCTTTTCCCCTCGTCCACCTCGTTTCCTATGAAATGCAACATTCTCTTTCGCTCATAGAGTTTTCTTCTAGGTAGCCTTCCCGAGATGTTATCAGCCTCTTTATCTGCCAGAAGGACCACTAACTCGCTTTGGCCTCTCGCAAGCAAACTAATAAGATAGAGTTGACTCTAATCAGTGGGACATCCTCAATCCTGCAAAACGCTATCTTAGGTGTAAGTCCTGATGGTGACATTCGCGCCATTATTTGCAACCTCGTATTCTCTATCTTTAGGGGAATGGAGAATGGAAAACGAGATACGAATCACGCAATTATTACTGCCAATGCCATTTTGCACATGTGCACGTTATACGAGTAACTCATTGTCAACTGCAATTGTAATTCGTCGCCTGTGACTGAAAACTGAAGGTCTGTTTTTGTTTGTTGGGGAAGGGCAAGTTTCCCAGAATCCTTTTACTGATATGAATACAAGGTGAGTTATTGAGACAATGGCCAGATATAGGGAATACAGATAGATAAAGAAATAGTAGCTGTCACTACGGAGAAAAAAATATATGTAGACTTTAATCATCTATCATAGATGCTGGAAGTTGAGGAAAGTGTCACGCTACAGCAGTGTATAGCTGCCAGTGGGCCATATCGTACATATCACTTTGGCTGAATATTATCTCTCCAGACAGAAAAAGACCACTTGCAAGAAACCCGGTTCTCGTGGGAGCATGCCATGATCATGTTGGGTGGGTGGAAGCCCAGCTTGACTTGAGTTTCTACGTGGCTAATGAAGGCTTTTGTTTATATTCTTTTGTAGGTGTTCTAGGGAAATGATCTCAATTTGGTATAGCCAACAGCCAAACTGTGTGTTAGCTCCATTCTCCTCGCACCTATCTAGACAGATGATCGGCAATGGTTTGCAAGCTTTTGCTGTATTTATCCACTTTGTCGAGCGTAATGTTCATTGATTCAGAAATCCTGATTTCTTTCACCAGCTGACGTAGAACCTAAAGCAAGTGCATGGAAAAAGTGAGGAGCGACCGCTAATCTTGCGAGCACACGGTACTGCTGATACTCCGCGATAAATTCCTTTGCTGTCGTGAAGTCAGATGTTCATTTTGTCGAGCTTGTTGATTTCATTGGACGCTATGTGTTAGGAAGGCTACGCAGGGAAGATCATGGAGAAAGACTGCGTTGCATTCCGAGCGAAGCCCACGGAGAGAGAAGAGAGAAGAAGAGAAAGAGAGTGCTAACTATCTGGTAATTGTCACTCATTGGTGGCCTAACAGACCAACAGGATTCCCCCTCAGCTTATCATGTCTCTTGTATTATTTCGACACTGTCCTTATCTGTTTATGCGAAATAGAGTATTAGGTCTCAGACCTTTGTGCGGAGGCTTAATTGAAGAACAACTTACAAAAGGCGACATGATCTTTGATATCGGCTGCTGCATCGTATGGATCCCGATAATACCACGCTGCATTTTCAAGCGTCTGCCCATCCACCCTCAGATGCCAGTAGGAGGCGTAACCTTTCCAAGAGCAGAAGGTCGACCGATCCGAGTCTTGCAAGATGGAATCATCGATGATTGCTGAGCGGGGAAACTATAATCAAGTCAGTCGATCTTTCATTCGAATTGAATCTCGTGGAAGTTACATAGATGTTATTCTCAACAGTCTTCCAACTCGCTGTCTCCGCGATGATGCGGTTGCCTATCTTAGCGAGAGCTCGAGGCATATTGATCGAGATGAAGCGAAGCCGATCTTCTTTATCAAATTATCAGATGGTAGAAATCGACCTTCACAATATACTAAAGAGTGAAATATATATGCGATTCATCTCCATATTCTCGTATTTTTCATCTTGGCGTATAACCCAACAAGAAATGTGATTGCGCCATTGCAGGGATAGTGCTCACCGGTGCTCAGGCATAGTGCTCACGATAAGAGTGGGCCAATACGAGACCCTGGCGCCATTTTAACCTCTCCAATTCAAAGCTCAGACGGAGGGAAATATTGGGACGCCCGGGAGCCTGTCTTAGAGCGCCAAGGGATTGAGAAAAGAAAAGGAAAAGAACGACACTCATATTGCCGATCGATGGCGTTTTACTCTTGGGCCTTTTCCAACTAGGATAGCTTCACGATGCTGACACGCGGGAAGACGTCGAACCTTAAGCTAGACTCTATTCGACGGCGTTATAGCGTGCTTCTGCGATGCACCCTGCGCGTGCCGGGATGGCTATTATATCACTTGCTGGAAGGCATTTATTTCTGAATTAATTCTGTACCAAAAGGCTTTGCTCTTTCTTTGACAGTTGTTACTCGTGATAACACAGAAACACCATGCCAGAAACTCAACCAGTTACCTCCTCGGAGCCACCCAGCAAAGAGGCTACGGACTATGCCATTGACTCCTCCAAAGATGTGTTCGACAGTTCCGTGTTCGACCCTGTTTTGGCTAGAAAACTGACACTTGCCAACACTGCCATTGACCAAATTGGCATGACTCCATTTCAATGGAAGCTTTTCTTCCTTAACGGCTTTGGCTACACGGTTGACTCGGTAAGAGACACGCGTGTCATCAGACAAGGCCATTACTAAGAATTTATTTCAGCTCTTGGTAATATGTCAGTCCATCGCCTTGCCAGCGGTTACCATGCAATACGGCAGCCCGAATAAAGGTCTGAAGGGGATTGCGCTGGCATCCCAAATCGGTCTTCTGGCGGGCGCGGCGATTTGGGGTCTATCGGCAGATATCATTGGTCGTCGACTTGCTTTCAATTCCTCCCTGTTGCTGGCGGCAGTCTTCGCAATCATCGCGGGTGGGATGCCCGGATACATTTCATTCGCGACATTGTTGGTTGACCTGTCTCGATGCGTCATAATCGTCTGTTTCTAATGTAATTCATAGGGTTTCCCTCTACTCCGCAGCCGTTGGCGGAAACTATATCCTGGATGCAACTACTCTTCTGGAATTCCTACCCGCCAATAAATCCTGGCTGGTGACCTTTATGTCGATTTGGTGGGCAGTGGGATACACCATCACAGGCTTGCTTGCATGGGCATTTATGACCAATTACAGTTGTTCCCCGACTGTAGCACCGGGGGCGTGTGCCTACCAGGACAACATGGGGTGGCGGTACTTGCATTTCACAATTGGTGGCCTGACGCTCGTGTTGAGTTTGTTACGAGTCTTCCTGATTCGCATCGTGCAAACACCCAGGTGGCTCATCTCTCAGAATCGCGATGAGGAGGTAATCCAGTTCTTGACAGATCTGTCAGCAAAATATGACCGACAATTTGATCTCACTTTGGATGACCTCCGCAGGGAAGGTGACGTGAAGAACACGGAGAAATCAGTCTGGTCCGTGGTCCGAATCAAGGCTCACTTCAGCGGTCTCTTTCGAACTAAAAAGCTGACGTGGTCATTCCTGGTGATTATGCTCAACTGGTTTGTGATTGGAATTGTCAGCCCCCTGTACCATGTGTTCCTCCCATATTACCTCAAATCCCAAGGGGTGAAGGTCAAGAGCAGCTCCAACTACCTCATTTGGAGAAACTATGCCATAAATCAAGTCGTCGGCCTGGTTGGTCCCGTGATTGCTGGAGTTTTGGTTGAAACCAAAGTGTTTGGCCGTCGAGGCACCATGGCTCTGGGGGCGCTCTTGACCATGATCTTGCAGTTTGGGTATACCCAAATCAAGACCCCTGCCCAAAACGTTGGTATCTCTGCTGCTATTACTGCTGCGACGTACGTGATTATCTCTCTAATTCTTTTTGGATTTTTTTACCATTTTATGATACCTAACTGACTGGTTACAGAAACATTTATTATGGGACTATGTATGCGTATACTCCAGAGATTCTACCATCAGCGCACCGCGCCACTGGGTATGCTATCTGTGTGATATTTAACCGCATCGGAGGCATTGTCGGGGTTATCGTGGGAAGCTACGCGAACGTCGAGACAACCACACCTCTTTTTGTCTGTGCTGCCCTGTTCGCACTTCTTATCATCCTCAGCATGCTTTTGCCTTTCGAGAGTCGTGGGAAGAGAACGCAATAGATGTGGAAGGGGATGTCTCGGAGATCTGAGTGTATGAGTGAGAGAGAGGAAGATTGGAGATTATCTATAGAATAGACAGCAGTGTAGCAGTGCGCCATATCGTATTTTGCCAGCAGCACACTTCATAAGATTAGTATACGAGACTTTATTGACTATAGAAATTGATAGAAATTAATAGTGTGGAAATGACACTATAAGATGATATTGTAGAAATTGAGATATTATAGACAAGAATAGTCGGCCGTACTCTGGTGCTCTTAGGTAGTCTTCGCCGATAGTCTTTTTATATGTCTTCTTAGTGGTCTTTCTTAGTAGTCTCCCTCGGTGCTCTTTTTAGATATCTAGTTATATAGATATTTTCTCCCTCTTCTTAGTCTATTACGCAGATAGTACAAAAGGGCCAAAAAAAGACTTATGCTGCAAAAATGACTTTTATATAATTCATGGGCTAGATATATACTCACCTCAAAGTCTCCTGATACTCTCAGTCTCTTAGCACCAACTTTGCATGGCATGTGAACATATCCAGGTTTATGTACATATTTTATACAATGAAGTGTCTCGGACCGGGGTCCTCGGTAAGTCGGTAAGTCAGAATACACGGGGATAAACCCCACATATAACTAACTAGTGGACCTCTCAGCCTTCCAAGGCTCCTTTCAGGGGCTTCTCCACATCGTCTTCCCAAGTTCACCATGGGTTTTAGCACTGCGGCCGAATTTGATCAGGTAAATGCCATCCATACTATTCGACATCACCACTCACATTTCCCCAGGCGTATCAAAGTGTCCAGGGTGCTTTTGCATCTGGCACCACCAAGAACAAAGAATGGAGGCGTCGTCAACTGAAACGTGCTTGGTGGATGATCGAGGACAACACGAAGCGCATCTGCGATGCCCTCTATACCGATCTGCATAAGCACTATCAAGAAGCCTACACCGGCGACTGCGCTAATACTCAAGCGGATATTCTACGCACTCTCAAGAAGCTGGATGAGTGGACCAAGGATGAGAGACCGGAAAAGTCCGATCCTCTCAACTTCCTAGGAAGAGCTACTGTCCGCAAGGAACCTCTTGGTGTAACGCTGATTATCGGCGCATGGAATTTCCCAATCACTCTGCTCCTGCAGCCAATGATTGCCGCAATTGCCGCTGGATGTGCCGTCATTCTCAAACCATCGGATGTGGCAAGTGCCACCCAAGATGTACTGATGGAAATTGTTCCCCAATACATGGACCAAGATGCGATCCGATGTGTCTCTGCTGGTCCACAAGAAATGGGGTACATCCTTGAACATCGCTTTGACCATATTTTCTACACTGGATCCCCCAATATTGCCAAAATCATCCATGCAGCAGCGGCAAAGCATCTGACTCCCGTCACGCTCGAGTTGGGCGGTCAATGCCCTGCTATTGTCGCAGAGTCGGCGAATCTTGATCTCACCGCAAAACACATTGCTGTTACCAAATTCATGAACGCTGGACAGGTAGGCTCGCACTATGCATCCACCAGCCATCAAAGGCTAACTCATCTCGATTGAACACAGATTTGCTTGAATGTGAACCACGTCCTAGTCCACCCAAACCTACGAGACCGCCTTGTCGCCGATTTGATTCGACACTTTGACACGTTCCGAGGAGGCAAAGACAACAACCCAGAGTATTACACACACATCATCAACGAGCGCAATTTCGACCGCCTCGAGGGTCTACTCCAGCAGACCTCCGGAAAAATCGTCTATGGTGGCCAGCGGGATCGTCAAAGTCTGTACTTCGCCCCAACGATCGTTACCGGAGTCAAGCCCGGCGATTCTCTTCTCTCCGAAGAGCTTTTCGGTCCGATTCTCCCCATCGTGGATGCGGACTTCGACACCGCTCTCTCTCGGACGCGTGCAGGAGAACATCCGCTCGCGATCTACGCATTCACTACTCAAGATGCCGAAAAGGCTCGCATCTTGAACGAAACCCAGTCCGGAGGCGTGACCTTCAACGACTGCGGTCTCCATATAGCTGCTCTCGATGTGCCATTCGGTGGTGTTGGGAACTCCGGCCAAGGTCGTTATCATGGCCCCCATGGTATCTTGACTTTCTCTCATCTCCGTACGTACATCAACGCCGTGCCTTCGTGGTTGGAGGGGATTCTCGCTGCGCGGTATCCCCCCTACTCGGTTCAGAAGGCTCACAAGATGATGGCACCCGTCACCCCGCCGTTCGACCGGGATGGAAATGATACGACTTCCGCTGCTTCAAAGTGGGCCTTTGGCGTTGGAATTCTCGCGCTTTCTGCATTGTTTGTCACTCGACGGGATCAGATTGTCGCTGTCGGTTCCAAGTGGCTCAAGTAATTTTAATGTCTTGTATGCGTAGCCAATGGAAGTGGTCTTGATTTTTCTTCTTTTGCATGTCGATGATCATAGGTGGAATTATATCTTGCAGATCTCCATTTTTTAAGCGGGGAAGGTATAAATCGGCAATTCTCCGGAAGGCAACAACGGCATATTCGGAGATCATGGCGAATTACCGGAGTCTACTAGGGATCGTTGAGCTAAACTAATACTATAGGCATCGGTAGTAGCAATGCAACTAAGCTAAAACAAGACAATGCCGAAAGCCAAATTGAAAATCCTATCCTATAAAGACAGCAAGGGCACAGGGGGAAGTAGAGCGAAAGAAATTAAGCTTCTTTTGCAAGTCACTCTTTGCCTACCATTTTCATATCGGGGCATCTCCGATACATCATGAAGCTGTCACTGGTTCTTCTGGGATTGAATATTGTCTACAATGCCGGGACTGTCTCCGCTGCTCCACTAGACAGCTGGTCAGCCAGGTTCGGTGCGTCGTCGCACGCGGTGGAAATGTTCAATACTGCCATCGAATGGAACGACAAGTACTGGGATAACGAGGCCGGCTATCTGATTACCTCAACCAGCAGTCGTGGACGCTACGATAGTCGGCACACAGCCTGGTATGCACCTCAATTACTAGCCAGGAACGGACCGGGCGATGTTGCAAAAGCCATCCGCATCTTCGACAATGTCATCTCTGGTCAATATATCGATCCATCCAAACAGTGGTATGGCAACTATCAACAAGCGCCTTCAGAACCGGAGCCTGGGACGCTGAAATATCCTGACGATGGTCCATACAGCTCGGTAAGCCAATGTTGCCTAGTCTAGTCCACTATTTTGTTAATATGACTATGGTCAGTGGGATCCAAACATTCGTGATTTTGTGGGCTGTGCCTGGATCGTGGCCTTGAATGACTACGGCCACCTTCTCCCAGCAGCGACGGTCTCCAAGGTGGAAAAGTCGTTGCACATCGCGGCCAAGGGCGATCTCTATCGTGTCGGAGGAGTTGATGGCGACAATTCTTACCCCTGTTACTCCAATCCCTGGTTGATGCGAACGATTCTCCAAAACTGGGTTGGCGCACGAGTTGGCGATGCAAACTTGACCAACTCTGGTGAGAACTTCGCGCAGGAAATCTACGACCTCTGGAGTATCCACCACACATTGTCTGAATTTAATTCTCCGACGTATGCTGGCGTTGCCATGTGGGCACTAGCTCTCTGGAACCAGTACGGGGCAAGTGACAGTTTGTTGAAAAAGTATGGACCGGAAATGCTCGAATACAGCTGGAATGAACTCGCTCAGCTCTATAATGCAAATCTGAAGAATGTTGCTGGCCCGTGGGATCGGTCATATGGCTATGATATGAAACAATATGCATCTCTTACTGGCGCTGTTATTTGGGGTGTTGTTGGCCGTGAACAAGCCCCCGTCCCTCAGCAGGAGCTGGGGATGTTTCATCAAGACGATTTCGCGTTTTACCCTCTCTTCGCTCTGTCAATGCCTGAAATGGTAAAATCTCTGCCTCTAAGGGCAAAGGCAAATTTGCTCGAATTCCCTGGCGAGTATATGTACACTTCGCAGGCTTACTCGCCGCCCTTCGATACTTATCCTCGCAACATCACTACTTGGATGTCCAAGAACGTGACCATTGGCGCAGAAACGGTTGCCGAGACGGTTGTCGGAGGTCCCAGTATCAACCCCAGTCAATTTAGTCCTGCTGTCATTCAGTGGGCTATTGACAATCATAAGATCGGCTGCATTTCACACTGGGTCACAGAGTCGTCTATTCATGCCGTGGCCGCCCCTGGGTCTTTGGACATCTCATATCCAAATGCAACATCTGCGCACGGTCCGGTCTCTTTCAACTTCCTGTTCAGTGGCATCACGATCAACAACGGGTTCAATGTGACTGGACTGGAAGACCTACCTGGTTTGAACCTCAAGGTCTTGACAAACGCACAACCGGATTATACAATCACTTACAACACTGATCACTCTGTCAACGAATTTGTGTTTTACAACATTACATATACAATGCCTGAGAGTTTCACCGGGGTACCATTTGTGTCGCTTCAGGTAGTTTGAGCGTATATGGACAAGATATCATACCCCTTGGTGTATAATGTCAATATCAAATGGATTTTATCAACACCGCGTGGGATGGCCAGATCACATCGGCACATAGTAGAAGAAATTTGAAGCAGTAGATACTTTATATGATCTTATCTCTAAACACACACAGCAGCATCTCGTCAACTATTTCTGTGGGTGAAAGAAATAAAACGCTATCCTACGAATCATTGGTCAGAAGTGCCTTCGCGATCGTCAAATACCATGAAATCGGCATCATCAACTTCATCTCCTACAACTATCTTCCAAGCCTCTTTGACAAGGTCGAGGGTGTCATCTTCGAATGCCAAGTCAAGGCTCGAGGGAGGGAAATGATACAAGTCAGGAATTTGATCCTCGACAGTGAGACGCCGGGGCTCACTATTGCTGAGACGACCGCTCTGGGTATATCGCAAGGACCATAACACGCTGGCCGGAAGTCGCTCCGCCCGAATTAGTCTATCGACGGCGGACTCGATAAGCGCGTGGCCTTCCGGTCCAGATAGTGCCACACTGCAATAAATAACACCTGTGACAATCAATTAGCCACATGAACAACAATATTGCTGACGTATCAAATTTCGAGGAGGGTGCTCGTGATCAGGTAAAAAGATTTTCAACATAGCAAGTTCAGGCAATGTAGATAAGTTTTTGAAAAAAATCATCATACGAGCGGGCCGGGAGAATATATCAGGCAGGACTGCACACGGGATGACTTACTCTGCTGGTGTGGACACTCGCCAGTGTCGCTCGAATGAATCTGAAGATAGACTGGCGGGGACTTGGGGCTGCCCAACATGTCCCCTGGGAACATCAGAACTGCAGTTGCGGGCACAGGAGCACCTTCGACTGCAATAGGGAAAAGAGACGGGAAAGTAGCCGACACAACACTGATCGAGCGGGCGACCTCTACTAAGGGTGATGAGCTCTCTTTGGGAGAAGTATCCGACATTGTAAACAAGTGTTTCGCCTGGACAGACCCTTGATTGGCCAGTTTCAACAGAAAACGATGTTCGGAATATTCAGAGCCGGTGCGCCATAAGAAATCATCAAGATGCGTGTCCAGGGCATATACACCCCCTCCCACAGCGGACGCACGACAGGCAGCTTGCAGCAGTTCAGCTCCACCGCCATACTTAGCAATCACAGCTCCAAACCCAGGGCCAAGATGGCCAATGGATGACAGATGTCTTTGGATCCTGGGCAAAGCATAGCTGGCGGAAGTATCTTGCTGGGAAAGCTGCGACAGGGACAGCGACAACAGAGGATTGTGAAGTTCCCCCGGGACGCTGAACTGGGAAGCTAGATAATCGTTTAAGGGCATTGAAGTATCGTCATCTCCATCTAAAGCGTCACCCTCATTGGGCTTAGTGATATGGCGCAATAATCGCATGAGAGTTCTCTTGGACTTCATGCTGATATGAGTTGCAGCAAACACATCCTCCCGGTTGCCAGGTACGCGGTAGAGGACCTTTTCGGCACCGAGCTGGTCATTTTTAGAATCTGGTTGTTCAGGTGCATAAATCCACCAGCTTCCAACAGCCATAAACTCTAGCTGGCGGAAGACCTTCGAGGATACGAGCGCTGACATTAGTTGAGAACGGGCATATAGGAAGTACGGGGAGAGGGATAGAGTGTAAGCACGACTGGATGCAAGTTTGTGAGGGATGCTTGGATCGTCGGGCGAAGGAGATGTATCATGTTTGAAGATTGAGGCATCCTTAAACGGTGATGTAGGTGTGTCTGCTTTGTCACATGATATTAGCTGTGAACCAACCTGCCATACATAGCTAGTGAACTCACCTCTATTGACTTTGTCTACCCATTCTTGGGCCTCATCAAGACTGAAGGCAGCATCTGAACCACCATAGTACTGGTTTGAGTCCATGTGAAGGACCTTCTTTCCAGATCGTGAGAGTGCCCTTTGGGAGTGTGAGTGCTACTCACAACCACCCTGGGATAGTCACTCACAGTGCCAGAAGTGACTGGGAAACCCCAGTCCCAATAATGACCACATCCCAAGTTGTGTCTGACAGAGTTTCCATGGTATGGAAAATCAGGAACAAAGTCCTAGCTGCGGGTAAGTCTGAGTATTACGGCCAAGTTTGGCAGCTCAAGCTCTCATGGGGTTGATAATTGGGATATTTGATCCAATTGAAACATTCCCGGTCTTTCCATAAGCTTCGATGCTGGAAATCCCACGAACTTGAAGTTGTTGGGAGAAAGAAGAAGAAGAAAAGAAAAAAATTGGAGGAAAACGCGGGAAGTGCGCGTGAAGGCGGTCACCTGGCCCCACTTCAGCGAACAGCCATGACAGAAATCAGCCTTAGCCTTAGCCTTCCACTTCACGTTAGAGGGCAAAATTCCAGTCCTAGATTCTTCGATGCATCCAGGGTCAAAGTGCTGAAATAGAGGCTTCGCAGGCAAACGCAGCGAGAGAAGACAAGAAGGGATGCTGGTTTCATTCCAAGGTTGGTGGCTCTAGTTACTAAACCGTGTATGAAATCCGCTCGAGTATAAAGACGTTTAGTATACGTAGAGGAAAGAAATGAGACATTCCACATCCATTTCATTTGTTCCAGGGCCTTCTAGTGTTATTCATGGAAGTCCTCCTTGATATTCCTTGTATGCTCGACAAGAATATGTCAAGAGACCTTAGAGATATACTCTCCGCAGTCATTCTCTATCGCATAGGTTAACTTTCAAGGTCACATTTGCCCCTAATGTACAGAGCCACACACCCAGGCAATACACAAGGGCATTCGCCAAGCCTGCACTGAATCATTACAAACGAATTTCCTTTCAATCTTGGAAGTGCGCACTGCCAATTCCTGTCAGCTAACCTCAATTCTACTTCCCACCATGATCTGCCGGCACGCAGCCCTGGTCTAGGAGCAGCAGTTCCAGGCCCCCTATGGCAGGAGTATCGTTTCACTTATGTTGTTGTGCACACAATTATCAGCGGAACCATCAAAGGCCTTTACTTTGACCACAAAACATATGTACCTTAGGTGTGACTTTTCTCAGTTTCCTTCTCTGCAGCCGCATGAGCTTGATCTTTCTCTTCTGTCTCTGTCCTACCGTCTTCACCCAGCTTCACGTTCTTCAAAAACAACATCACAACAAGCATCAAAGAAAGTGAAACGAGGGCTGCAATCGCAAGTAGTCTTTGTGACTCTTGGTAGCTGCGATTGATGGCGTCACGAGCTTCGGTGCCCATGGCATATTTCCGAGCTACCACAATTGATCCGAAGATAGAGTTGGCTTGACCCTTCACTTCGCTAGGAAGATATTGTTGCAGCTTGTCCGGGAGGGTGTTTCGCCATATTGCGCCGGCGACGCTATTTGAAAGCATCTATTAGAAGGGAGTCAACTACATGACTGGGTGTGGCTGCTTACCTCGTCCCAATTGCGCCGCCCACGCTCATCGAAGCGAAGAATACTGCGGTAACAACGGAAACATCCTGCCGTGAAACAACGGCCTGCACTGAGACCTGTGCAGCCGTTTGGTAGAACCCACGGCCAGTACCAATCAATGACTTGGCTGCCACAAAAGATGCTTCATTCCCGCTGCGACCATCTCCCATGTTCACCAGGTAGAGGAGTACACCCATTCCAAGAACGCAGAGCGGAACGCCGATCAACACCCAGATCTGGGAGCGCTTGGTATATTTCATGAAGAAAGCGGCGAATATGCCGGCCACCTGAAAGGACACACGGAGGGAGTTACTAGTCTTGACATTAGTCTCATGAGAGGAAAGACATCAACAAAGATAGCTCGTGACAAATGGGGTGGGGTTTTGTACTCAATTCTGGTTGCAGGCCCCGGTGAAAAGTCCCCAGCTACCTGAAGGTAACTCGTGAAGAAGACACTGAACACTGAATAATGGAAGAAATCCAATGCCCCGAGAAGACATGCAGCTGCCACTGTGCGGTTCTTGACCATGCGATAAGGCACAAATGGTTTCTTCGCGAACCATGTGTCCCAACCTAGAAACGCTATTATGAAGGCCACGCCAAGGACCACCATGGCGATAAATGACCCATTGGTCCACGCGCCACTGTTATTGGAGCCCGTCAAGGACAAAGGAACCAATAGGAGAGATAACCCAGCCACAAGGAGAACAGCGCCTGGCAAGTCAAGCTCAGTCCAGAACAATCGGTACACCTTCTTCCACCAGGCATCCCTTGTTTCCCAGCCTAATGTTTCAGACACGGATACTGGAGATGGTGCCCGACGTTGGTAAAACAGCATGGTACCGATCAATGGCAGTGACGCAACAGGCAACACAATTGCCCACATGCCCCATCCCCACCGCCACGTTGAATGATGGAGGATGCGCTGAGCGACGATAGTACCGAGATAAAGAGTCGGAATTGTGGTGAGAGAGTCAGGTAGTGTTGACCAGATACCACGATTCACTAATGAGGTCATATCCGCCACAAAGATTTGCTGTGTGAGGGCAAATCCAGTCGATCCGATAGCGTCGAAGATACCGGCAACCTTTGAGATACAGAAATGATCAGCACGTTTTCAGGTACTTTACAAATCCCGAGGGAATGGTGTTTACTATGTATTGCGTGATGTTCGTGCAGGCTGCCCAAATGGCATAACCCAAAACAGACATAAGGATGGACAGGATGAACATTTCAGCCCTACCGAAAACCTATGTAGCCACATGGTAAGTAAGATAAACCGTTGGAAAGCCCTAGAATACTGACATCTCCCAGCTTTGCAATGATGGGATAGGCAGAGATCCGCGTAATGTTCATGACCACCCGGGCTGCGCTCATAGCCGAGTGTTGCTTGAAGGAGCTCGTCGTGTATGGGGCATACACCTGAGTTGAATAATCGGCAAAATTGATAGCTAATGTACACAAAAACAGTCTAAGCAACCATTAGCAAATCGATCTGCTTGCAATGTGTCGGTAACGAACCCTGTAAAGACAATGATCAAGCCTTTCTTAGTCCAGGCTTTTCGAAGCACATCAGCCCTATGGACTCCAGGTTGAAGGCTAGAAAGGTTTGGTTGCTTTTCGAGGTTCTCCTCTTGGTAAAAATTCTCAGCAGCTTGGCTGTCCTGGTTGTCTGATGGTGCCATCACAATGGACATGTCCCCTTCTTGCTTGGCCATTGCCGCAGTCGCATATATTTAGTGACGGTACATATTTTCTCGAAAAATGGACTCAGAGATGGTTTAAATGGAAAAGTGTTGATCGTCGAAAACAAAGCTGGATCTGGGTCTTGCCGTACACTACTAACACTACGTCCAAAAAGTAGCAATAACAGTAGCGATGCGCCGAAGACCTGGAAGGCATTGGAAGACCTAACATCTTCACCCCACTCTGTTCCTAGAAGAAGTTGGTAGGGCCTCTTAAACCACGAATACTATATAGGAAAGTGGACTATAAGATGAAACTAAACCTAATCTTATCAATCATATGCAAGAAAGGAAAAACGAACTTTGCCCGAAACAGGTAATTCAGACGAGAAAGGACGCGTCCCTTCGTATTGTAAAAATGCCAAGATTGTCAAGGGCGTGCCAATATATCCACTCCATAGATGAGAATGGTCTCACTCTCGGAGTTAAGACTAGAGTCGGGAAAATGGCCTTTCTTTGGACTGGAGGTTTCCGATCAGATATGGTCCCATGCCATTATTATTGCCCCACTTCGCAGCGAGATTTCGGTCTTCAATGTTTCACCTAGGACTGTTAAACGGCTCTGGTGTAGCACTATTCGGCTATTCTTGCCGGATTAGCCGTTCTGTCAGGCCTATAGCATGGCAGTATCACGGGGTTTAGCCTCATAACGATCCGTTCTTCAAAATGACCCGTTCTTTGAACAATTGCTGCCCAGGTATTCTCTTCACATCTTACCAACATTCCAAAGCACGCAATGGCAGACCAGTGGACATTTGAACAGGCGGACTGTCAAATCCAAAATATGGCGAGCTGGCTCGTCGTAAACAAGCAGGACGAGAAATATCTTATTCAAGTTTCATGGCCACTGGAGTGGGAATCGATTGAAGACCAGCCAATCATCAGCAAAGCCAATGCAATGTAAGTGAGAATGCCCTTTTGGATATATCATCGGCCAACACCAACACTTTTCAAACTATCTACAGATATATTGTGGATGGCAATGCCATGATGCTTTCGGCAACTGATATCGTGAGGCGGCGGCGAATGCGTAAACCGGAGGAAATATCGACAATCATCATTGGAATATCCTACCCATTGACACAGTCTGTTTACAGCCCTCGTCGCAGCCATGATCTAACTCCCCCCTGCGAGAACTATGACTCGCCGAAACGCCCGGACGGGAAGCCCAACCTTCAGGAATATGGAGGTGCAGACGCTTTCCTCCAATTCATAACGAGCACTGTTCATCATTTTGTGTTTTCGTCGATATTCCCTCGCATATCTGTCCGCCAGACTGCTTTATTTGGACACTCTTTTGGGGCACTGTTTGCCCTCCATGCGTTCTATACGGCCCCCGCAAGTTTCGACGCCTATCTTGCTGCAAGTCCGTCTATCTGGTGGAACGATGGATTCCTGCTGCAGGAGGAAGAGCAATTCTACAACATGCCAGAATCACATCACCAGCCGAGAGTTTGGATGGCATATGGATCACTTGAGCAGTCTCCTATACCTCAGAAAAACCAGTCCTTGGAGGAATATGAAAAGCGGTTGGCAATAGCCAAGGAACGTCTAATGGGGGATAACTGCGACCAGATGTTTGTTCGACTTCTGCAGAGTGGACGGGTACGGTCAGTCGTGCGAAGAAAATATGATGATGAAGACCATGGCAGTGTCATTGCTGCGGCACTGAGCGGAGCTATCTTCTATTTCCTTGATCAAGGAGATGAAGAAGAATGAATGATCATAGTTGCAGCAACTTCTATTGATGTAATCGAGCTGGCATTGATTGTAGGACTTAATTTTTCGCTAGGTAGTTACTAACGCCAGAAGACGATGCTTACACTAGCTCCCGACATCGTCCATCTCGGAAACATAGAGATGCTTTTGCACGCCACCTCAGATCGCGGGCGGTAGGGGGGATTCCTTAAATTAGAGAACCCCCTCATCCCTCAACCCCTTTACTTTTCCTGCTAAAGTGGGGTCCTTCTGTTTTAGAAACTCCACAAAGCTATCCATCATAAGGGTCTTCATGGCATTCAACTCCTTCCATGGCTGAACTTGACTCGGCACTGTCGGCCTCCTATACAACTTCATCGGATGTTCCCGCGCCTGGAGCCCAGAGATGCTCAAGTCCCACGGACTGCAGCATTAGCATGGGTAGAGCTCGCTCCAGACTAGGTTACCTAGGATGTGCATATGACCCGGGTATTTAAAGCCTTCATCCTGGGGGTCTTCATTGGCCATGCTGCCTGCACTTTCGTTTGCACTGGCACTATTATCGAAGTCTGCGTCGACAGCTAGGATATGGCCTTGTAAGTCCCCTTTGAGGAGGCCTTTGTCCTTCGTGTAGGAGGCGTAGAATTCGTTGTCGATATATGAGCCTACACCCATGTAATCGGTGAGAAGGAAAAAAGATGGTGCTATTTTATGGTTCCACTCGTCCGAGGACGGGATTTGTTGGAAGTGTGTAGAAGCAGTATCAGTTCCTTGTTACGTGGATCTTAGGATGGAAAGATTAGGACCATCGAACCTCCTTGCTGCTGCTACGGGCTTGGTTGTGTCGAAGCCTAGTTCCTTGCAGTCGAACCAATGCAGTTTGAGCAGTGGTGTGAGCTCGTCAGCGCCATGGACGTCATCAGTCCATGCCGACAAGTGAGCTTCCAAGTCCCGCTGAAGGTGTTCCCACTGCTCATCGGAGAACTTGTGCGCTGCGCGGTAGATCGCTAATCCGAAGTTAAAGTCGCGTCTCTCCCACGGGTCCATGCTCAAGCTCGCCTCCTGCGCCCGAAGGAGTTGCTGGATCCAGGCCTGTACAGGTGGCTGCGGCGATGGCGCCCAGGCCGCGTATCTTTTCACGTAGTTCATCCTGTACTAGAGTGCTAATAGAAAGGCGCTCGCGGCGGGCCGCGTCACTCTGCGTCGCGCTTGGACCTTGAACTGCCGCAGCCTCGTTCTGAGCCTCGATACATTTTGCGAGTCGGTCAAACAGGAGCTCGGAAAACCCATAGTTCTTTTCTTGGTGCTTTAGGTTAGGGTTGTGTAGCCCAGCGATGATCTCGGAGGGCGGATGGTAGCCGTTGTACCCATGCATGGACATCCAAATGTTGAAATCTACCATTGAAATGACGGCGATGAGGTCGCCCCACCGCTGCGAAAAAATTTTCATTTGAGGGGCTTCTGGATTTTCAACCGAGACCGCACTGAAGTTGTCCAATGTCCGTTCACGTACTTCGGCAACGCGAGCCAGGACCCAGGAATGGACGGTGCTGGTCGTGACTTCGTACCGTGCGCGAATGAATTGTCCCCAAAGAGCAGTAAGGTTGAGCTCGGGAGAAAGTCTGCCTTCGGCCTTGCGCCGTGCATTCAAGGCGTCCTGCATTTCTCTCAAGTCACCAGATATTTTGTTGAAGGTGTCGCACATGTTAGGCCCGGATCTGAAAATTATTTAGGTACTCGAAGACGGCAATGACGGAAGTCAGGTATTCATGAGCGATCGTGAAATGGTCTGGGTTGTTGAGATCTTTTTCGCGCCACCGCGATGCAGGCACGGGGGCAAGGCCTCCCCTGAGGCGGCTCTTAAGAAAGTGAATATTCTGCCCAATACGGCACATCCCGCTAGAATCCTCCGGGCCCGTGATCCGTTCTATCGCCTTCTGCACAGTTGAGAGCGTTCTTGTTGAATGGTGCAGGCGCCCACTGTGAATTGGGGCCATGAACAATAGGAATTCATCTGGATCGAGTAAAGCTAAATCGGTCTTCTTCCCGCTCGGCAGAATACCACACGTTATGAATTCGATAAAATGCGGGACAGCTTGCGGTCCAATCAAGGTGTCCACTGGTTTGGTTAGCGAGGTGACAGTGATGCAGTGACAAGTAGGACCGTACCGACTGGAAAGTCCTGGCTCATCCAATGTCTCTCCGTGATGCTCGATCCTTTGAAAGCAGTAGCGTCGGGGATGAAAGCGTCTGGTTTGACTGATGAATCAGAGTCTGTATGGGAATATCGCGCGATATTGGCCTGTGTTACGCGGCAGGTTCAAAGCGCGAGGTTCCAGGTATTGCGATGTGCCACCAAGCCAATACGGGCACTGGCGTTTGCAACGCGAGCTATTGTGCGGGAAGATAACCCAGCGGAAACACGGCGGTTGACCTGTAGCAGGCTTCGGGAAAACCTGGCCGCCATGCTGCGTTGGATGGATGTGATCAGCGGGGTTGCAGGTGGATGGCGATGGCGATCTCAGCAGAGGAACTAGGGAGCTCTGGAGCTCTGGAGTTCGGGATAATAACAATAACCCTTGTAGCCCCATTCTTAATCAACCGCAACAGAAATAGAAGACTGAGGTTGGTGCTAGCCTATCAAAGTTAGCCACTGTATCCAATCTCTGGCGCTCGTTCTGGCTGCGATGTTTTTTTTTCAAGATCTTTATGTCTAGTATATTATAGACCAGAAAGTGATTCCATCTAGAAATTAAATATCGTGATTATTTTCAATCTTGGATCAGTAATACATACGGAGTACGTTCAACACTGAAACATGATCCAAGTAACCATATTTGGATTTGGTGGATCATGCGATTAGGGTTAGAGCATCTTGCCAAGAGCCTCGCTGCCTCAGGCGTAAATGGTGCCTAAGGCTATGATTACTCAGCATTTCCCAAAGAGGCTAGGCTGCACCGCTATATGAACCGAAATTTCCGCGGAACATTTTCTCTCTCCATACCACTCCCGGTGTCCTGCACAGAACGGGTTACTATACTATGGTAGCCTGGTCTTGATTGACGTGGTCCTTCACTGGATTTCGTTTTGGTGTGGTAGATAAGATTTCTTGTCACTCTGTATCTGCTGCTCTTGATGGAGACATTTGATGGAAGCGGTTCGTTTTGTAGTGATACATCATAATCTCATTATTAGGGTGGTACCTTGCTACGCCACTCTGATATTGTAGTCTGTAGAGTCCTGAAAAGGCTCGCATAGAGCACCTTGAGACAACAGCTAGACAATGCTGCCCTGGCCTGACTTGGGCCGGGCGCGCCGAAGGCTGTGCCTGCAACCTGCATCGCAGATGGAACCTAAACCCTCCAAATTAGGCGACACCTGTTTTTTCCGGGAGAAGATACGTGACGTGTATGACTCTCCACCGTAATCCGATGGAATAAGCCGCACCACGCAACTCTCACTCTTGTGTGCCTGCTTCAACCACTCGAGCCCGAAGGATCTTCAGCTCGTCCACTGGCTTGTCCTCCGCACCGGTCTTGACCAGTCCCATACGCTGAATCACTCTCATCCCACTTTTCACTCGGCCGAAAATCGTGTGGTTCCCGTCAAGCCAGGGTGTTGGCGCAAGAGTGATGAAGAACTGACTACCATTGGTATTCGGTCCACTGTTCGCCATGCTCAGAATTCCAGCGCCGGTGTGTTTCAGCTCTCCACGAATCTCGTCCTCGAATTTCTCGCCGTAGATGGAGCTACCTCCTCGACCGGTGCCAGTGGGATCGCCAGTTTGGACCATGAAGTCAGGAATGATGCGGTGGAAGATGACATTGTTGTAGTAGCCACGTTCTGCGAGGGTTGCAAAGTTCTTGCATGTCTGAAGAGCAAGAAATTAGCGAGGATTCCCTAGAAGCTCTTCGAAGGCTCATACCTTTGGTGCATGGGTATTGTAGAGCTCCACGGAGAAGGAGCCCTGCGCTGGGTTAGCAAGTGATCTTGAGAGAACAAAGAAGCACGAGTTACCATAGACGTGTCAAAAGCCACTTCAGTTGTCATGGCGAATATATGAGCGTAGAATCGTAAATACAAGAGCTGAAAAACACAGAGCTGAGAGCTGAGAGTTTGCGATAAGGGATCAACCAACTCAATTCCCAATTTGTCTGGCAGAAAAGTGGTACCGCCATAGCTATGGATTTGATAATTCTCTTCTAGAAAAGGGAATATGCATACAGCGTATAATAAAAGATAGAAAGAAGCAGAATCTAGATACCTATAAGCTTGGAACTTAGGACAAGAACGAGATGGATCACAATAATGGATAATGTAAAGAAACTAAGGGAATGTGAATGTGAGCAGAAAGCGGTGACTTAGATTATGCTGTGGTCACCAAGCTCCTCCATGCGCCGGGAAGCTTTCCATCTTTGAAGGTAAACAGGCCACCTACCTCAAAGAATTTCCCATTTGCCAACCATTTCTGGCCATTATGGTCTGATTCATTCTTTTTTCTTTTCTTGACTTCCATTAGCTGTGATTTGCCCCGGTGCTTACAGTATAATTTCCTGTCCACTATGGCCGACATCAGCCCTGTCGCCGAGCTTCTTGGACAAGCCCTCTACCACTTCGATCGTCTGAGGCCACTTCTTCCAACTTACGGACACATACTTGTTTCCGCTCTTTTTCCAATTTGGATCGGCGCACATGCATCTTTGACAAGACCTTCCTCCGCCGCTAAACCTCAGAAGAAAAAAGGCAACAAAGATAAAGATGAATATGACACGGATGATGAAGAGGGACATGGCCCTTTGCAGAAGATGGAAGGGCTTGAGCCATCAGATGCCCTGATATTTCCGTTGACTGCGGGACTTACCCTCGGTGGTCTATATTTGGTGATCAAATGGCTAGAAGATCCAGCCATCTTGAACAAGATCCTTAGTTTCTACTTCTCTCAAATGGGACTCTTCTTCGCTTTTGCCTTCCTGAAGGATGTGCTATTGATGACTCGTTCATTTGTGTTTCCTAGATATTAT